ATCTTGTTAGAAAAACAGATTTACAGAATCGACACCAGGGTAGAGCTAACCCTTTCTGTTCTAGAGTTGTTCTACTAATCAGTCAGTCATTAGTTGGTAAATAGCGATGTTCAATCTGCCATTGTAATGAAGCTATTTTGGTTGGTTTAATTTTTATATTTGTGAACCATTTGATTGTCTTGAGTGCTTCTCTTTTTAAATTTAAGTGTTTCATCCATCTGTCTCTTACCCTGTCCTTGATATTTATACTAGGTCTTATCATTCTATACGTTGATTTAACAGACAAGGTATGAAGCGTTCTTTTACAATTATGACCCTTCCTTGGTGGCGAAGTCCAAACCCAGTTGATAGGATCTAGTGCCAAACATTGAACCGGTGTGCTAGGTTTAAAGGTCAGCCACTTGTCACTTTGTTTCATTACTCTGATCCTGAAGACCTGTTCCTTATTGACCCATCTCGTTTCCTCCGTAGGGTTAGGTAGTACTGTATACTCTTGTGCTATCTTATGTAGGACCAATAATATTTCCTCATTAGGAATTTGCAAAATATTTCCAATCAGATCCCTTTGATTTTCTATGGCCACCCAATCTCATTTTTTCAATGTAGGTCCTTTCCTGAGGATCCTGATCCTCACCAAGGGAACCAATTCAATTATCTGGTCTAGTGCTTCTATTGAATGATGGCAATATCTTAGTTTACATTGCAATTCCTTTGATGATAGTCAATCCTTAGTTTCCTTGTTCCAGGTATCCTTGATGCGCAGGATGCCCTTCCTGATCCAACTTTTCCAAGGTGATTCCATACAGTGTAGTACATATCCCTATGAATCTCTAATCCATCCATTATTGAACAGTGGTTGTTGAGAGACTTCTTCCCATCTATCTGGTGCTACTTTATCTGGTACAGGGAACTTTCTCCATACTTTTAGCAGATTAGTTCAAAACGGGTCCTTATTTAGGTCCTTTTTAGCCTCATCTCGTTCTATCCTGGTCCTCTACACCTCTTGACTGCTTTCTAGGAATAGGCCATGATCTGTTTTCTAACCATGTCATTGGGTGGATATTAGCTGGGGCTAGTGGGGCTAATCTTCTTATCTGTTCCCATGTCAATTCACTCCAGGGGGTGTGTGGGTTGAATAATAGTCTCTTAATCCATTGGATGGAGAGAGCCATTCCTTGTGTAGCCGGATCAATGATTCCCAGTACCCCCTTGACTTTTGGATGTATTACTGATTGTCATGCCACCCGGCTAATGAGATTTTGAGTCTCATGGTTTCCTCTCCATAGAAATGCTACTACGTGTCTTTGTAGGATATTTAATGTTGATTTGTCAAACGGCCAGATAGCCGACTTGTACCATAAAAAAGCTAATGCCACGTTATTGATAATCATTGCACGTTCCATAACTGAGGTATGCTTGTGTTTCCATAACTCAAGTTTCGCTTGTGTTGGTTGGGTAATCCATTCATTATTGGCAAGTGGTTTTCCTTCCGTTGTTAGAGAGATACCTAACACTCTCACTGGTGTGTCCAACGCTACCCATTTCACTCTGGGTTGTTCTGGAGGTCGAACTCCCTGGTGATGAATCCACCATCCTAACGTCTTACTTCCCCAGTTGACTCTTCAGGATCTTATAAATGACATTCAGAACAAAAATTGGTCGTCAATTGCATATGTTCTCCTTAGTCCCCCTTCTTATAGATGACGACCTCGTAGGCGTCTGTGAACTCGGAGGGAGGCGCCCGTGTTGCAAGGCTTCATTGAATGCATCTGTTAGAAGCGGGACAATGACGCCCCTGTATTCTTTGTATAAAATTCCACCGGAACCCCATTTCGCCCCGACTCTGTCAATCTTGGCAGCTCTGCAATGGCCTGCTTCACTTCTGCCGGTCTCATGTCTGATGTCCTATTCTAGACTGCAACGTTTGGCGAGAGGCCGCCTCTGTGTCACCTGAGACCAAAAATGTTCCGTTTTGGGAGGCCATGTCTGCAGCCGACCATTGCTCCTCCTCAGTAAACAGGTACCTGTAAAATAAAATTCTTCTACGTATTTCACTTCCATGTTGTATCTTGCTTGGGGGCCGTATTGTCTAAGGGGTGCTTCATCGTGGTCATTATGGCAGTGCTTTTCCTCTTTGCCCATTTGCGCAAAGAATTTTCTAGTCACATCCGTTCTCCAACCACGGTCCATACTTGCTTGGTCCTCCTCTCCCATCTCATTGGTTTGTTTGTTTGTTTGTTTGTTGTTGTTGTTGTTGTTGTTGTTGTTGTTGTTTTAAGCCCAGGTTGTTGTAGAGGTGGGACACTAAACGGACGACAGTCACCCACAGCACTCGGCCACTCGGCTGTCATGATGAACCCCTCTGAAGACCCCACCCACCCTTCCTCTATTTTTTTTTGCCCTGGCGCACCCCCACCCCCCCGGTCCTACCCTAGTGTTAACCACCCAGGACCATCACCAATTGCCATCATGGCGGGGTGACCTGACCAGACAGCGGTTGCCGGTACCGAGGCTAAGCAGAGGTGCCTACCCCCTGCTCAGCCCTGGTTGAAGCAGACGCCGTGCAAGCCTGATTGCACGGGGTTGGGAGCCAGGTTTGAACATGCTACTACAAGTCTTCATGAGTGTGCGCAGTGACTCCCATCTAGCTTAGTTGTATGGTGATGATAGAGAGCTGGGTATCCTCCGTTCCCTCGTATGTCCCTGGAGCCTGTTCCGACCATGACACCCCCGACATCCCGTACTAAGGAACTGCTATGCCAGCCTCAACCCTATGCTACGTACTAGGAGGATAACCAATCCTAGGTCTTTATGGACTGAGTTTCTTTTTTTATCCTTACAGTATACTATGATGTTGATGGTAGAGAGATGGGGATCCTCTGTTCCCTCATATATCCCTGGAGCCCGTTCCGGTCCCGCGGTAAGGTGCAGTATCTCCTGACACCCCGACATCCGTACTAAGGACTGCTATGCCAGCCTCATCTCTAAGGTACGTACTAGGAGGATATCCCACCCTCAATCGTGAATCATGGACAATATGTATTGACCCTGGATAATCTCTAGGCCCTGTGTCGTATGATAATCTGAGAGCAGGCAATCCTCTGTCCCTCGTATGTCCCTGGAGCCCGTTCCGGCCCTGCGGTGAAGTGTTAGACCACTATGTCCTGGCACTCCCGACATCCCGTACTAAGGAACTGCTATGCCAGCCTCAATCCTTTGACCACGTACTAAGAGGATGACCAGCCCTAAGTTAGAGTCTGGTATCGAACACAGGACCTTATGTAAACCGTGCAAGTGACCTAACCTATTGACATACACTGTGAATTAGTCTGTAGCTGTGCTCTGCTGGGCTCGAGTAAACCGGACTATGCGAACCACCCAGCAGTCTCATGACAACCCCGTAGACCAAGAACATCAGGATACCCACCATCGCCCAGTCCCCACATACAACAACCCTGGACTACCCCTTGGGTGGTGCACAGGCAGTGTCTGCAATAACTTACCTGCGTCATCCCAAGGGGGTGTGTGTCCAGCCGTGCGTCATCCTAACGCCCTGCCGGTGTCCATGCACAAGGCTGCAGAGTTCTGAACCCGCAACCTCATACCACAATGCGCATTTCCAACCCGTGCTCTAACCACTGAGCTACATCAACTGGACCTCCCATCTCATTGTTTCCTCCACCTGCCAGTCCTTTCATCTTCTGGGGCGCGGTCCCAGTACTACCTCGTTCACCCGAATACAACGTACCCTCATTATTGCTCTACATCTAGACTGAACCCCCCCCCCACCCCCCCCCAAATACAGCTGTAATGACCGTATGTTGTATTCGAGGGAAGATGGTGATAGCCACGGGATAAGACGTCCCTCCATCCGTGCGACAATTGTGGGACAGAGTGTGGCAGCTGTGGGACCGTGAAAAGCCCCCCCTCCCAAAAAAAAAGAAAAAAAGTCAAGAATCGGCCTCGCTCAGCTGCTCTCCACATACACACAAACGCCAAAGAAATATAGCAACAAAAAAATGTATTATTCTTTCTGGGCTCCACCAGCGCGGCCCACCATTCTTCCTCCCGTTGTTCTGGTTCACGAATTCCCCCTTCCACGTACGTATTCCTCACCAGTCCTTTGCTGGGCCAGGTAGTTCCGTCTGAGCCCCGCTGTAAGCATATGGCCCCGGCGGATGTCTGCAATTTCCTTGCAGATCCAGTCTACCTGGGTAACCTCCCCTCCTGCGGGATGGTAATCGAAAAATTCTCTTTTCGAAATCTTCAAGATGGCACGGTGAATTTGTCGCCCTCCCAAAAAAAAATAAAATAAAAAAATTGTCGCCCTACCGCGTAGGGCGCGTCCGCAAAGAGGCGGGTGAACTTCGTTTTGAAACTTGTTCCAGACAACAACAACAAAAAGAAAAAACCAAAAAAAGAACTTGTTCCAAGCGCCGAAGTGGCGGTTCTACACCTAAGCGCCAAAAAAGAACAAGGGGATTTCGGCTTTGCGCACAAAAAAAAAACAACTTGTTCCAGACAGCGAAGAGGTGGGTCAAAAAAAAAGCAAAAAAAAAGAGGCGGGTCTACTGCAGCTCTCGATCGAATTTCGGCTTTCGGCGCAATCGGAAGCCATCCGGTCCAAAAAAAAAAGAAGCCATCCGCCGGTGGTATTGGGCGCTGGCCTTGAGGGGCCTTGAGGGGATTTGCGGGCTACCGGCCAGAAACCGGTCGGTGCGGTGTTTCGCCTTGAACGTCGGAGGGAAAGACGAGCGGGGGCTACCGGTCGCAGGCTTTTGAAAATACTGGTAGGTCCCGCCGCTGCGGGGCGATGGACCAGATCAGAGGAGGCCCTTCTTTACTACACGACATCGAACGAGCAGCCCCTCCTCCTCCCTCCTCCTCCCTCCGCCTCCCCCTCCCCCTCCTCCCCCCCTCCCCCCTCCCGCTTTCATTTTTCCCGCCAAGCCAAGGTTTCCATTTGCAGCGCGAACGCAACCTCGTTTGTGGCGGATGCGGAGAGAGAGGAACGACCGCGCTGGAGCGCGCCACTCGGCGGAAGTCAGGGGGATAAGCAGCAGCAGCAGAGGACAAACTTGCGATGCCGCTGGTAAGAAAGTAACTCAATCAATCAATCAATCAATCAATCAGGGAATCAGTTGTCTGACAACTCAGAAGGGGGGGTGCAAAGACCCCCCCCCCCCCCCCTTCTACGTACGTTCATCGGTCTAATAAGCCCTGCCCATCATCCTCTGAACCTCCTCCGTTGTTCCTCCATCCGCTGTTTTGCGTCTCTGACTGATCACCAGAATTTCTCTGTCACCTAAGCTCTTCTCTCTGTTGCCGTCTTTTCCCATCTTTGCTGCCCTTTATCACGCCCGTTTCACTCTTTTCTCTTCTCTTCCCTCCCCTCTCCTCCCCCCAAACCCTCTGTGTTTCTCTCTCTTTCCTCTCATCTTCTGACTGTCTGTTCCCCCTTCTCTCTTGGTCTTTATTTCTCTCATCGTCTCTCTCTCTCTCTCTCTCATCATTCCTCCCTCCCTCCCCCCCTCCCTCCTCCTCGATCTCACAATGTCTCTCGCTCTCTCTCTCTCTCTCTTTTTTTCTCTCTCTTCCATCCCTCTCTTTCTCTCTTATTGCATCGGTATCTCTTTTTCTTGCCCTTTCATCTCTTTTCCTTCTCCCCGGCCTCCCTCTCTACTTTCTTTCTTCTGCTATCTTGGTCTCTTCTTGTCTTCGTCGTCCCGCTTTGTTCCGAACGGCCGTATGGTATTGACCATTGCCAATGACAAAGAGAAGCTTGTGTGTCTCTTTCACGGCGATGGCGACAACCAAGAAGAAGAAGAAGAAGAAGAAGAAAGAGAGAAACGGAAGAAGAAGAAGAAGAAAAAAGAACAATCAGTAGTTGACAGTGATGGCGGTAATTGACAGGGTCAATGGTAGTTGACAGTACTGCTGCTGATGTTGATGTTGGCGGTGTAGTGACGGTGATGATGATCGTTGGGGTTGATGCTTCTGCTGCTGCTGCTGACCCTGCTTGCTCTGCTTCTCTGCTGCTGCTGCTGCTTCTCTGCTGGCGATGATGATCAGGGTCAATGTGTATAGATGCTACAGACAGCAGCAAGCTGTGATGATGATGATGATGATGATGCCGAGGTCCGCGAAGATGACGTGGCGATGACCATGATCATGATGATGGTGATGATGATGGGGTCTCGAAGAGTGGATGACAGTGGCGGCAAGATGATGATGGGGTCCAGGGATTGGAGACAAAAGACTTGTGGTGATGATGAGAATGACGCCGCCTATTACGATGAGGAGGCTTGCAAGAGATGCTGGACGATAAGAAAGAGACAAGAAGGACAAGTGTGGGGATGATGATGAGAGAAAGAGGGAGAGGAGGAGAATGAGAATGGAAACAGGAGGCAGACGTGAAGTGAAGCTGGAAGGGAGAAAGAGGAGAGGACTCTGACAGTGAGAGAAGGAGTGCGACATGAAGCTGTATGACGTGAAGATGGGATGATATGAAAGAGGAGGAGGAGGAGGGGGGTGTCGCAAAGAGAGAGGAAGGTGTGAGGAGGTGAAAGAGGAGGAGGAGGGGAGGGCATTGCAAAGAGAGAGAAGAGGTGTGAGGATCCTCACAAAGAGGAGAAGAAGGGGGGTCTGTGCATCTCAACGGCTGCTATGTGGGAATGAATGACGGCCTTCGACGCAGGCGTTGGCCGGTTCAAAGAAGAAAGACGCGGTTGTCCATGACTACGATGAGGATGAGCGATGGAGTGGGGTGGGCGAGATACAGACAATACGGAAGTAGAAGAGAAATTGGTTGAAGCCGACGTTTTCAGCGGACGAGCAAATGGTGAAGCCGATGCTTTCGACACTCTGAGCACGTGAAGGAGAGAGAGAGAGAGAGAGAGAGAGAGAGAGAGAGAGAGAGAGAGAGAGAGAGAGAGAGAGAGAAGAGAGAGAGAGAGAGAGAGAGAGAGAGAGA